GGACACGTGTTGGACACGCCTCGACACATGTCGGACACGTAAAAAAATATGTCCGAATATTTTATATTTTCTTGAATATCCGGACATGCCTTGGACATGCGTTTGACACGGCATGTATACGTGTCCGACACGGTATAAATATGTGTCCGGCACACGTGTCTCATTCTTGGGGATTTCTAAGAAAATTTTAGAAATAATGTTCAGTTGAAGTATAAATATTAGGAGTTCTTTAAAAACTTTTAGCAATATGATGGTAATTACATAATTACTTAAAAGTTGTTATTTTATAAAACAATTTTAAATTAAAACAATTAGATATTATCCTTATATTTTAGATTACAGTCCAAACTCTTGCACAATCATCTTTGACTCTTGTTCTCCCACCAACCAAGCTTCGTTACCAGTGGATGGTCTCTCAATCTCTTTCTTCTCTTTTCTCTCATCTTCTTCGTCCTTTTTCTTTCTTCTTCTTGTTCTTCACAAATCCTAGATACTTCTTTTTTTCCTTTCACAATTAATTTCTTTTTCTGATTCTTTTTCCTTTTTCCTCTATTGCCCATAAACTTTTTTCTCTTCTATGGATTCTTACCTAATCTGTTGGAAATTAAACTTGATTGTGTGCTTTTTAGTGTTTTTGTGAAGGTTACAAGTCCTTTAATATGGTGTGTAAATTATGTGTTAGTGGGAGTTTGTATTTATGTTAGTGGAAGACATGAGAGTTAAGTCTACTAAATACTATGTTAGTGGGATTAGTGGGAGCAATTAGGCATTGAAATGTAATTGGTTACACATGTCTTAGAGCCTATATAAACTCATGTACTATACCTATTTTAGGTGGAGAGAAAAGTTGAAGAAGAATAAGATGAAATAGAAAAAGCGAAATAATTATTCAAGTATTCCTTCATTTCTTTCTCTTCCAAAATATTATTGTGTATTGTGTGTATCTAGCCCGTCCACTATTTCCAATAAAGTGGTATCAAAGCAAAGTCAGAAAGTGGTATTAGAGAAAAATCCAACAAAGTGGTATCAGAGCCAGATTTCATGTTCAGAGCCAAGTTCCGGATCAGAGCCAGATTTCATGTTCAGAGCCTAGACGATCCTGAAGGCCTGACGAAGTTGATCCTAGAAGGTTCAACATTTGAGAAAAACATGTTTTTTCCTTGATAATGATGAAGGGGAGAAAATGTATTTTCTTAATGAGAAGATAATGTTCTCTAATTATAGGAGAATGAGAATCATCATAACTTCCTACCTCAAAGCATGTAATTTGTGGGATGTTGTTGGATTAGAGCCAAAGAATGGCATGTCCAACAAGCTTCGAGAAAAGAAAGAAGAAAAGGCATTGGTAGTGTTGCAGAAAGCAATACATCAAGAAATTTGGGAGTATTTTGGAGAGTCCAAAACTCCAAGTTGTGTTTGGAAGATACTCGAGACTATCGTTTCCAATCATAGAAGTTAATCACTACCCATAGAGTATTGGGTACAATGCTTTAAGGATGATGAGTTTATGAAGGCTGATTATGAAAGTTTAGAGAACAAATTTGTGGAGAATGAAGAGGCGTACAACACAAATGAAGTTAAAGAAATTAAAAATTAAAAAGTTGAAGGCCAAAGTGCAATGGTGAATAAGGAAGAGATAAAGAAAGGTGTTGAAGAAAAGATTGAAAAAGTAGAGGAAATTAAAGTAGAAAGAGAAATTAAAGAAGAAGAAGGTGCTAAAGATCAAAGAGGCAAAAGTTGATGAAATTGGTGAGTTAACAATTTCAGGTATGGTTCCAAATTCCAATTTCAAAGAAGTTAGATATAACTTATTTGATAAAATTATGATTTCTTCATATTCATCTCAATTGGAAAACGAAATTAAATATTATGATAATTATGTTGTTGTGGAGAATGATGAACTTCTCTTAAAGAAAGTTACTCCAGAGAAGTATGAGATTGAAACTCAAGATAATAAGAAATTCTCAAATTATTTTTCAAAAAATAGTTTGGAAAATTTTGTAATTGACACAGGTTGGATGAATATGGAATTATTTTTTGACTCTAAAGAAGAAACACGTGTAAAGTGGAAAAGCCAAAAAAAATTCAAGAAGAAAAAATATAAATGGTGCGTTTGTATAAAGAGGATGATATATGATTGTGTGAATACATCTGAAGATTTTCACAAGCCATACACATCAATGGAAATGGCCAAGATGATTGTTGCAGTTGAAGGAGGTGGAATTGAAGATCAACCAATGAACTTTTGTTCAAGTCCCCAAGATCAATAGTTTATTTGAAAGTTACAAAGTCAAGTTTAAAGGGGGGTGTTGGAAATTAAACTTGGTTTTGTGCTTTTTAGTGTTTTTGTGAAGGTTACAAGTCCTTTAATATGGTGTGTAAATTGTGTGTTAGTGGGAGTTTGTATTTGTGTTAGTGGAAGATATGAGAGTTAAGTCTACTAAAAACTGTGTTAGTGGGATTAGTGAGAGTAATGGGGCATTGAAATATAATTGGCTACACATGTCTTAGAGCCTATATAAACTCATGTACTATACCTATTTTAGGTGGAGAGAAAAGTTAAAGAAGAATAAGATGAAATAGAAGAAGTGAAATAATTATTCAAGTATTCCTTCTTATCATTCTCTACCAAATATTATTGAGTATTGTGTGTATCTAGCCCATCCACTATTTCCAACAAATTGGTATCAGAGAAAAATCCAACATAATCCTCTTTTTATTTTATTTTTTATCATTCTTTCTTTTCTTAGCAACGCACAATTTTTATTTTTATTTTTTTATTTTATTTTTATTTTTATTTTTTTTTTCATTATGAGGTTGTAAAAATTAATGTTACTCTTAATTTCTTGAAGTACAATATCATATATATATAAATATATATTTATTATTTGCCGTGTCAACGTCCTAATTTTTTCAAATTTACCGTGTCGTGGTATGCGTGTCTCATATCTGTTTCTAGATGCTTCTTAGCTTGTGTTGATACATCCGATGCCGAGCTGCTGAAGATTATTCAGCACATACAAAACAATCACACCAAATTCTCATCTGCACAACTAGTGGCTGAAGCTAATCACTATAGAGGAAGATTCGTGTGGAGCGAATGCTATAGAGAGATGAGAAGGACATGTAGATCTTCGAGGGTATGAAGTTTTGATTTCTTACCCAGTCTAGTCTAGAAATCAACTAAGAGTTTGTGGAAATTGAATTGTGACTTAGGTTGTACATCTCTTTCTATAGTGGATTAGTTGCCTAGACTAGGTCCTGTGATTTTTTTAACCCTCAATGAGGGTTTTTCTCACGTATATTTTGGTATCTATCTATTATTTATTTATTTATTTTTGGATGCATGCTTGTTTGAATTTGGAAGTGTTAATAATGTTAATTGCATGTTAATTAAATAAGCAAATTAAAACAAGTCAGATTAGTTTGTTTTTGGTTAATGGGCGGAATTGTAAATCAATAGGGAGTTTCTTGGATTTTGCAGATGGCTTGAAAGTATAGTGTCACCTTGGACACCTTTTGTTTTCTTTTGAAAGTGCTCCCCTTGAAGCGCCTTTAATGAAATCTTACTTATAAAAAAAAAAAAAAAAAATGTTTTGATATAAACCACATAACCAGAATAATGGAGAATAACTAATAACAGATTTTAAAAATTTCTAAAACACTTATTCACCCCACCTCTAAGTCTAGTCAGTGACTTTGCGTGACTTTCTTTCAGAGCCTCGGGTTTGATCTAGTACGTTTCACGCACATAACCCCCATCTTGGAGTGTGATCAGTTTGATTTCCAGAGTAGAGGATTGAGCTTCTCATTGCTGCTCATCTTGCGTATTGTACTTAATTTATTGCCTTTTGCTTTGTTATGATGGCATTTTGCTGCAATGAGGTCGTATTTCTTTTGTTTGAGGCTCCTGCATCACAAGTGATATAAAGCTCAACTAAACCAGATCTAAGAGAGCCTTACCATAACTATTTGATGTCAGCTTCTTATTTTTTATAAACAGTTATTCTTGTTGACAGATCCCGGATTAGCCTGGACTACCAAACATAAAAATTTGACATAGCAAGACAGTATCATAAGGAATTGTAAACTAAATTGTTTACCTGTGGTTCTGTTGACCTGTACTAAATATTGTAATTCTGGTGCTTCAAACTTTTAAACAGAATGCAATTATTATTTTTTAATTCTTACTTCTTGTGAGTTGGTTGATCATGCCAAGTCAGTTGCAAGACTTCTTTTTTTTTTTTTTTTTGTAGAAAAAAGTTCTTTAGTTTGTCACTAGATTGTTTATTATTCTGCCTGTCATCTATTACCATATGAAATCGTTGCATTGACGTATGATACGAAAAATTGTCGCCATGCATATATATTGTTCCCTCCTAGTCTTAGTGCTAGCCGAGCTTCAGCTCATATACGAGCATGCTTTCTTTCTTCTATATGGAATTCATTCACAAAAACTAATTTCATGGATAAATAACTCAAACAAAGCAATATTATACAGCTACTTATTTTGATCTGCCATTAAATTTATGGAAAATTTCAGTCCTCGTAGGCGTGAGCACTGATCAACAGAACATGTGTGTTCCGTCTCTAGAGTCATTTTGCTACGGAAAAAAAGAACCTTTCACTATGAAAATTTTGTAGCAGAAAACTTCTATGCTATAGTGTCAGGATACGTATGTGAATTAATCAACCACCATTCAAATACTTCCTTCTTTGTTTTTTTTTTCTGCTAAAAGTACTATTAACTTATGCATAGAAGACTATGTTTCTAAACCGTGCTAGTGTCGTGAATCCTATCTTGTTTTGATGGGAATCAATATGTTTCATTTGACAGTGGGATTCACATTTTGAACCTACAGATATATAATATGTGGGTGTTTAGGATATTATATGCCATCAAATTTGCAATTATTATATTACCACTCAAATGGTGTTTCATGAGGAAAAATTGTGTAGTTTCATTTGGTTTCACTTTCTTCGCAACTAATACTGCAATAAGAGCTGAAGTCATAATCCTTATTGGTTAAACAGGCTCATTGAGTTGTACAAGTATTAGCAGTTTATCACCCAACCCATAAGTGTGGCAATACAGAATTAAATAAGGAACATACAAGGAGACCCTCCAGCACAAGCTACCCTCCAGCACAAGCTACAGCATTGAACTGAATGGGCAGGATGGTGAAAACGATTCCAAGTAAAAAATGCGAACTTCCCACTTGTGGGAAATGGCCTTCTGTATTGAAGCTCTAGTTTCTGGCTTTAAATGGAGCAATCAGCCAATGCAGCATCAACATCTCTAGAAGGAGTCGGATCATTAATGCTCTCGTCCGATTCTTGTTCCCACTGCCATGACCACAAATTTAAGAGCTCAGTCCATGTAAGTTTTAAGTATGCATATATTTATGCTAGAATGGAGAACATGAATTTTCACACATTGGAGCAAAGCTAATAGGTATAATGTAAAACTAAAAAAGAGAGGGATAGTGGGAGGAAAGAAAAGAAATGAACTCACCGGCAAAGGAGGAAAGTCCCAATTATTGACAGTAAGGGATGTACGCGTCAACTTTTTCTGTCGAACATCATCTTTGAATTTGACTGGCATGTTTGTTAAAATCAAGTCTTCCAATGTGGTCGATTGCATCAGTGTCTGGGGTATGTTCTCCAGTTTATCGCAACATCTGATGTTCAGTTCCTTGAGGCTCCGCATTGCGCCTTCCTCAACATCCCACTTCTCCAGTTTTTTCAGCCTCCATAGTTTCAAGACTCGAAGCTTACTAAATCCAGAGCAAGTGATTGTTTTCCCAAGGTAGGAGTCCGCTAAAAGCCTGAGGACAGTTAGCTCTGGCAGTTTCCCCAGGATTGGCATGGGATCAACATTCAGCCGTGAAACTGACAATGTGAGAACTTTAACCACCGGCGGGAAATGAGATATATCAGGTAGCTTTCGTAAATTCCCCAGCAAATACAAATGGGAAAGTTTCACTAAACCCGTCAATGGCTTCAAATTGAGTTCCAAAGGATATCCCCTCTCATCTTTGGATCTCAACCTCAGAGACTGAAGGCTAGTTAAATTTGCAACCCAGTCAGCTATGTCTTCCTTGCCAGAGCTCAAATGGAATGTAATGCCTAATTCCCTGAGCTTAAGCAACTTGTTCAAACCATTCTTCACCGGGCTCTTGTCATCTATCAATAATCCCCATAGTGTCAAGAGCCCTTGTTCTGGTGGCATGTCGAGTCGAATCTCATTGAGATTCAAATGCCGCAAATGCTTCAATTTCCAAATGGATTTGGGTAGACTATTGATATTGGTGTGCTTCACATCCAATGTTTCCAGGTAAGGTAGGGTGCCCACCGAGGGAGGGAGGTGGTCCAAGAAAGTCCATCTCAACCCCAAATATCTCAAATTAAAGAGATCTCCCAGATTCTCAGGCAAACTCGGTTTGTACACGCCCTCTAGATCAAGAACCCTAAGCAATCCAAAGCATTTGTTACTAATGATTTTGGTAACAAATTTCCCCACTTCCGTTGCCGGTGTGTCTTTCTTCTGATTGTTAAATGATAAATAAGACCGCAAGTTCTGAAGTTGTGAGGTCTTGCAAGTCTTAATATCGGAATACTCGATGATCCTACGAACACTTGGAAAATCTGCAGCTGGATTGCAATTCTTAATATCGGAATACTCGATGATCCTACGAACACTTGATGGACGATCTGCAGGTGGTACACCGCTATTGTAGTTGTGATGGATATGGAATAGGCTGATGGCTTGGGCTTTGGACAACAAATTATCATGTAGAGAACCCAGTAAATTACATCTTCTGGGGCTTCCATCAGACCTCATTTTAGATATCTGAATCATGCTCCTTTTAACCAGATTCTCAAAGCATTCCTGTACCACATCCTCTGGGATCATCTTGGGCGATTCCTGTACCACAGCCTCGGGAATCATCGTGAGCGATTCTTGTACCACATCCTCTGAGATCATCTTGGGCGATTCGTGTACCACATCCGCTGGGATCATCGTGGGCGATTCCTGTACCACATCCTCTAAGATCATCTTGGGCGATTCCTTTACCACGTCGTCTGGGATCGTGGGCGATTCCTGTACCACATCCTCTGGAATCATCTTGGGCGACTCGTGTACCACATCATTTGGAATCATTGTGGGCGATTGTTGTACCACATCCTCTGGAATCATCTTGGGCAACTCTTGTAACACATTATTTGGAATCATTGTGGGTGATTGCTGTACCACATCCTCTGGAATCATCTTCGGGACAAATCCCTCTGCAAGCCACAACCGAAGTAACCTCCTTACTGGGATGTCAAATTCTTTGGGGAAAAACGCTAAATAAAGCAGGCATAGCTTTGAGTAAACGGGTAGGTCATTGTAACTCAATGACAAGATGTCCCGATTCGAATTCAAGACTCGAAGCCATTCATCTGTTTTATTCTTGGTCGATAACAGACCACCAAGGAGAACAATGTTGAGTGGTAGACCTCTGCATTTTGTCAGAACCTTCTGTTTCAGATCGTTGCTGATATTACTACTTTCTGTCAATCGGGCCTTCTTCAAGAACATTTTCCAGCCATCCAAATCACTCAACGGGCTCACCTTTTGTGGGATATTTTGTGGATTGGCAGGCAAAGGTAGATCTTCCTCACTGGTGGTAATAATGATCTTAGTTCCATTTCTTATGTCTGCAAAGGCGCCTTTTAATTCTTCCCAGACATCACCAGCCTGAACATCGTCCAGGACAATCAGACACTTCATATTCTTCAAGGCCTTAGGCATACTTTCAAGCAGTTGATTCGCAGTCAGATCCACGTCTTTATCCTTCAAAGTCCCTGTCTCTTTCAAAATGTTGAGCAAGACATCTTTGAGTGTATAACCTTTAGAAACAGAAACCCAGGCGCGACATTTAAAAAAATCCTTAATGCCTCTGTTTTTGTAAATTGCACGGGCGAGAGTAGTCTTGCCCGAGCCCTCTTCACCGATGATTGAGAGAATGACAGGATCGTGGTCATCATCACTTCCTTTGCCCGCCTTCTTCTGCAGTTGGTTCACCAAGCTATTCACTTGTTCTTCGAAACCTACAATGCTGGATTGTCCTTCTTCTTCGAAAGACAAATTAAACATCAGCCTAGGTTGCCCCCTCGGCGTCAGGCACTTCTCGAAGCTTGGTATAGAGTTGAAACGTTGTATTGTACCAGGCCTTACTTCATTACCCACCCGAGAAATTGCATGATTACTACTACCAGCAGCAGCCGCCTGACAATTTTCGTTGTTGAGTTGTTTGATTTGTTTTCCGATTCGCAGCATTTTCCGATGGAAGCTTCGGTGTGACCTTAAGTGGTTGAAGAGGCCACCAACTGGCCACAGTGAGCTCCTCCTCCTCTGGTGACGGGCTAAAGCATAAGTTTCAATGACATCCTCTGTTTCATAAAGAATGCGAAGATACTTCTTATTTGTATCATCATCCTGCATCATCCTGCGTTGTATAGCAATTCTAATCTGCTCCCGCACATGATCTATCACTTTGTCGACGATTAATGATTTGTCAATCAGCACCGTAAGTTTTTCTATCACAATTGATGCCACTGCTTCCACGGCCATTTCAATCTCCCTCTCCCTCGCCCTCGCCCTCGCCCTCGCCAAACCCGACTGGAAGGGTAGAAAAGAGTTGAAAATCCGGTGTTTTTGTGGTTGCAGCAGCTACAATATTTGGAAGGGAAGGGAAGTGCGATCTCTTTTTCCCCTGTCAAGTACACACAAACAATGGATAAGGCATTAATTTTGGTTAAGGAAAATTATTAGGAGACTGATTTCCAACTACTAATCGAAAATGACAGCATCTGGACCCACCTTTATTTAGGCTAGCTGTATGATGGTTGCAATATACCTTGAAGGAGAGAAATATTTATTGCAAGTTGAGAGCTAGCCATCCAAGTTGACCAAAGACTATATACCTAGAGAGAGAGATCTCTTTATTGCAAGTTGAGATCTAGCCATCCAAATTGACCAAATACCACGTGGAGGAATACGAAATCAAATTGTCTTAATTTTGTTTCCTTCCCTGTACAAGTATAGAGGTAGATAAGCTATGGACTAGTCCTGATAGGTCCTCCTTTAACCACTCCGAAGCATCCACCACGCAACAACCACTATGTCATAATTTTACTCAAAAACTCGGGCTCTGCTTGGATTGTATAGTCTAGAACCGTTTTTTTTTTATTCCGGGAGTTACAAAAAATTCAAAACTGTTTTTTTTTTTTCTCTGCTTGGAACCATTTTTAGAGAGCAGTTCTCATAGTTTCACTTTTTTGAGAACAACTTAAAGTTGTTTTCCTTGTTTTTGAGATGCAATTCTCATTTTATTGAAAACACGGAGAATAGCACGGGGAACAACTTACGCCATGACGTTAAGAGGAGTGGTTTATACCGTATAGTCTTCCTTCGTTCCTAACCCTATCTCCTTTTCCACTCTACGGCCTCTGCCGCTCCTTTATCTCTATCCATGTGCAGAGGAACTCTATTTTGATTACGATAATTTGGGTTAAGGTATTGATTTGGTCTCTCCAACATCTCTCTACAACCAGTTCTCTCTCGCCCTTTCTCTCCCTACGATTTATTGGGGTTTTGAGGTTTTCTGGCATATCTAATTTTGGTTAAGGTTTTGATTTGGTTGGTAATCTCTAGATTTCTCACTCAGGTACGTGTTGTGCTCCGGATCTTTAGAAGACTTTCTATTCTGGGCTCTATTCAGGTAATTCATCGAGATCAGCCCCAATATTTGATTGTGAATTTCTTTGTTACTTGTGTGGATTTGGTTGATTCGATGGAATTGGTTGTGTGGTTTTCTATATAAATTATGGATTTGGTTTTCTGCAAATGGATCTCTAATGTGTCATTTTTGCTTTATTTTTGGTTGATTGAATATAATTGGTTGTGTCATTTTTGCAAAGAAATATATATATATAAAGAAGGGCTAAGATTAAACCCTTATCTCCAGCATACCATATACCTATCAAATTAACAATTGCGAAAAAAATAAAAATAAAAAAAATAAAGAGGAATAGATCACTGTGTTAATCATGAGGTTGTTAAAGAAAAGATTTCGGTGCATAATATTGGAGAGGAGAGAATATAGTGTATGTTTAAAAATTAGTTGTTCTATAACTTAATAGTGATAAAATTATTTTGATGCTTGTTACCCTTTATTTTGATGCTATTTTCCAGGTTAGTGTCTTTATATTTAAAGAAAACGAACAAAAATAGCATCAAAATAAAGCATCATGTAGCCACACTGTAGATAAAGATAGTGTTGGATATCTATAAGGAATAATAGATATTGAAATTATTCTTGTTGCTCATGTTGTTATACTATTAAAATGATAGATTTTATGAAAAGAACGGAGTGCAAGGCCAGCTTATAGTATTAATTCCTTAAAGAAGATAGTGTAAACATTCTCCTCAGAAGTTGTGAATATTGAACTGTGACGACCCTGGTTTTTAGGTCAGCGCGTCCTGTGATGAACCGAAGATTTACCCGATAACGGATCCGAATGCAGAAGCGAAAACAGAAAACAAGACTCTAAGAAGTCAAAGTGACCTTCCATGATGTCGTGGAACTCAATGAGAACTGATGCGGAAGTAGCAGATCGAAAATATGACGAATAAACCCCTCGGGGCAAAATGGTCTTTTCTGAAAATATGGATTCGGGTGCCACCGAGCACACCGCTCGAAAGACAACGAAAAACTAATTAAGATGGACTCAAGAATCGCATGATTCGGAGTCCGGACGGAAGAGAAAAGTCAAAACAAAGTTTTGACGTCGCCGCGGTCGTGAATAGTAACTTAGGAAAAATGCTGAAATTCGTGTGCCGTTTTGAGGTACAAAATGATGTTTTCTGGAAAAATACGAAGAAGAAACCCCCCTTAAAATAATTTTTCAAGCTGACCATATCAAAAAAAATTTTTATTTTTGACGTTAAATCCCCAAAATGCCCTTACAACAAACTTTTTCAAATAGTGTATATGCGCACAGGAAATCAGATTTGACGCGGGGTTTTCGGGTCTGAGATGACATTTTCTGGAAAAATGTTGTGAGGAAACCCCCCCCTAAAATCATGTTTTTTATGTGACCATGTTAAAACCGGAATTTATTTTTCAAAAGAAATTCCCGAAATGTCCCAAAATCAGAACTGGACAAGAGAGCAAAAGTTGCTACAGTGACTGTCCTGATCTGAGAGCGGAAACGGGCTAGAAGATGAATTTTTCTGAAAAAACATGAAAAAGAAACCCCTCCCGAAGAATTCAAAAAAAAAAACTCACTGTAAAATGTCCAAAATGCCCCTCCATGAAATCTGGTCATTGAAGGCTAAAAAGTTGCTAAATGCAAAATTGAATGCTGAACTTTGCGATGGATTTTCGATACCAAGACGACATTTTTTGGAAAAACACAAAAAAGAAACCCCCCCTAAAATCATGTTTTCTAAGCGACCACGTAGAAAGAAGAAAATAAAACTAATGTGAAAGGTCTAGAATGCCCCTAGAAGATTATGCAAGAAAAATGCAAAATGAATCCCTAGGAGGCTCAATTTGCCAAGGAAGAGGTTTTTCTTGAAAACGATCATGCACACAAACGTAACTTACCTATTAGGACGCGCTACAATGATCCATGGCTTAAAAATACCATCGATGCAAAATTTGACCCCCCAATGGCCAAAAGGGCGAAAATACACATGAAATGGAAATTTTGAAATTTAAAATTGACAAATGATTTTAAATTATTGTTTGGCCCTTGGTCACACTTCATACAAGTTTAATGAGACCTAGTATAGGTGCCGGAACACACTTTGCACCACCCGATTTGAAAATGAACCCTTAAAGGCTCGGTTTCTATTATTGTAGCCCAAAAATGCAATATGTGAACTAAGATGCAAAAATGAAAACTAAATGATGTTTGCCCTTGGCCACACCTCACATATAGAAAATGAATGCTAAAGGATGAATTACATACACAATGCACACATCGATGTGAAAATGATATATTGAAACCCAAGTTTTCATACTTTTCTCTTTAAAGGCCAAATTCTACATTTTTCAATATACATTTTTCAATATACATGGATTAAAAATGAAGTTTGGCCCTTGGCCACAAATTATATACATAGAATGAATATAAAAAAGTGTGCTTAAGCACATAAAACAAGTTTGGAATCAAATACACGCATTTGACAAAATGGCTACAAATGGCATTTCAAGCCAACCTTCATAAGAATAGAAATCTTCAAGTCCACAAATCATTCAAGCATAATGAGAATCTCAACATTGATTCATGTACCTGAAGACTGTCCCCACTACGTGAGTGAGTAACATAAAGGTACTCGTAAAAGATGAGCATGCATCAACCTAGCATTTTACAATTTTATCACCTTATAGTAAAACATGTTAAAAGGGTTCATGCCACCTAACGTCTATATCAAAATGAGACTCAGGAAGCATCCTAAGCTACCTTAGAGTGTTTCTAGCATAAATCACATCATTCATGCATTTCAATAACATAGAAACATGTTATACAAAGTAACAAGATATAGATTCTCAGAGTCATCAACTTGAAACCTAAAATACGAAAACAACAAGAGTGGGTCATGCTACCTAACGTCTATGTTCAAAATGAATCTATAGGATCATTCCTAAATTACATTTGAACATTAAAACACAAATCATGATATCGATACAATTTGACCAACATTGGAACTTCCAATACAACGCTTAAAGCATAATTTCTCAAAGTTAACATCTTGCAACTTAAAATGGTAAATCAAACAAAGAACAACAAGTTACGATATTATCTAGTTATCAACTTGAAAAGAAATGCGAAATCAACCAAAGTGGATACTTGGACGTCATACCGAATCAGACCGACACCATAGTTACTTAGGGTTACTAGCCCACAGGTAACCTCCCTATGTGCGCACTAGACTATATAGAGGGACAATCCCCAGTACTAGAATTAAGTCCTAGCCGTAGCCAAACAACGACATCCCCAAGTTTCCAAAATCAGCAAGTTGTGCAACAATGTATATATCAACATGTATATACAAGATATCAACTATCTACCAAACACAACCAAATTTGGAAACACATACAATACATGTACTAAGTCCACAACTACTATGGCATGACAAATGTCGAATCTTCAGTGTGCGATTTGTTACACGCTATAACAATATCTTTCAACATTGAAAACATAAGCTCATGAATTTAAATATAACAACAATGTTATCAAATGCTCAAATGTAACCAAGTGAATACACAACAAGTCCAAGTCCATGATTTAAATATAGAAACAACTTCCAAGACGCAATTAAATCCATGGAGCAATTAGATAGAATTTAATTAAATAAACATAATTAAATTCTCTAGATCCCAATTCAATTCCAAACAACCTCAAATTAATACATATTAAAGGACATAACATGGTCATCACCTATATCCATTATAAAACTCAATTAGGTTGTTGGAGCAATAAAGTGGAATTTTAATTAAATCATGCTAATTTAAATCCCAAGGTTCTAAAACAACTTCAAATGGTCCCAAATTACTATATGCTAGTAAACAAGTCATGATCATTACAAATATCAAGTTAAAAACTTAATTAAGCCAAGGGAACCATTAAATA